GTATGGGGATTGCTCTATTCGAATATACAGGAGCTTTATCAATCCATTTTGAGGATCCACATTACAGTTGATATGAGATGTCAATTTGGGGTTAAAAATCTTTGCCGCAACACCCTTTCCCAACTTCCTCTGGGGATTAAAAGGTAAATCTGTCTGTTTATGTTATTTGTTACTGCAGACTTTCCTACCCATAGTAGGAAATTTTTTTGATGTAACACTTTTGATTGATTGTGATCATCCAGTAAGTTTCTGTATACAATACTTTATGCTCCTCCGTTAAGTTTTGTTCCTTCCTCCTATTTGCCAATAAAAATAAATAAGTTTCTGCAAATGTTTCCGTGTTAGAAAGATTGGTTTTTGAAGATTTCTTGAGTACCGCATGACCCCGGGAGTCGCACAATTTTATTCATAATCTTTTCCCATATTTAGCTTATACAATTATTTCTTTTGTGTATTAGACAGAGAATGATATATATGCTAAATTCAGTTGAATTACAACTTCTACTCTTAGTTGTTCCAGTCAAGTCTCAGCTAACTCTACCCTTAATTCTACTGAATTGTGACTGATGTACTTCTTTCGTGTCAACTGAAAAATTGTGAGATTCTTAAATTATGACCATTTTCTTTATTCGCCTTTGTCTTCTAGCAATTTGGATATTTTGTATTGAACTTGTGGTAACTGTCTCCATCCGAGGCTTTACATTCGTAATATCTCCAAACATCTTTAAAAAATTAGAAACTGCAGGGACATATAGTATTGACAAAGTGGAGAAAAGTGAATATTTTGAATATTTATTTAGTTCTCTCACATTAAAAGTTCTGCATCTACGCTAAGAACTAACTATGCAAACGAACATTCATACCTCTACAAGTCTCATTCTATAACTCAATAGTGAATACAAGCTCTCTGAATACTTTTTTGCATTAAGTTTAACGATCTTTGGCTAACCACAGCTAACTTGTCAAAATTTGTTGAGCTTTGTTAATTTGAGAGCTTAAGTTCCTTTAAAGATATCTGTTGTGTATATTTTCCTTGCTTTGGTGAATTATTTTGGTAAATTCAAGTGTGCCTCTGGCTGGAAAATACTGAGATAAAGGAGAATAGAATAGTCTTTTTAAATGTTCTTTCTTATTATGGAGAGCTTTAAGGAATAATATAACCTACAGGTTAATCTCTTCTAATAGAGCATGAAAGTATGAAGAAACTAACATTTTTTTTTATTACGTATTAAGATTCGGATTATGTTTGAGGCATTCAACATTCTGCCTATAGGTGAGATATATTTTGCTATACTTGTTTTGCAAATCTACATGATCAAATCTGTTGATAATTTAATTATTTTATTTGACAATATTCAATTATGTGACAATATTCAATTTTGTGACAACTGATGATCATGAGATGCGCTAGGAAAATATAAATGAAAAGCATCCTAATTTATGGTTTTACTCTCTTCTGTGCTAGGCTATAGACTCTACACAAAGGCACAAGGGATGACGACGTGCAATGACAAACATATTTAGTCTGTTGTAACATATAATATTTGTTGCCTATTGATTATGAGACAAAAATCTGGTTCTTCTTTCCGAAGTCAGATATAGTTAGTTAAAGCACATTGTAGTTCCATCAGTTTGCTGAACTGATTGAGTGAATGTAAGCTACACCCTTCAGGTATTGCAAGTAGCTCTATCTTTAAATTGCTTTACCTCTCTAAATTGCAGGCTAACTGCATCTACTACGAGTAAATACTGTTACCTTTAAGTCTTTTACCTGCCTTTTTGTATTCTGAAAGATAAGCATGAGCAGCTAGACGCATGGAAATTTATTTTATCTGGTCAGTATGATGATGAGTGCCAAGGCAATTTTCATGTGTGATACACTGCACACTTTACTGAGAATCTTTGCCTCATAATGCTTCCCGACGAATTCTACCACTGAAGTAGTTCACTTCATGCTAAAAGTCATCAATTGGATAGTACAGTCAATTAAGCTTAAAGTAAGCTATAGATTTCCAGTTTCTCCTCTTCCAATTTATGCAGCGAAATCCATGCATGTGTTGGTTTTGGTTGGAGTTAATTCATTTAATTTGGCTAATTAGAAATATAGATTTTTAGACGCCACGACATGTATGTTTTTAGACTAATCTATATCGTTATCTTTCAATTTTGAAATTCAAACAAGACTTGAGGATGTGTTGAAGTTGATCTTTGCTCTTTCAGATCAGTCTGCTCTTGTTTATCATCCATTTGATTGCTGAGATTCCTCTGGTATTTTCTTATTTCTCTGGCATATGACAGGAGGAAAGCATACAAATGGACAAATTGATGGAAGAAATTGGCGTGTTCTTACGTTCACTGGAAGCCACATGCAGTTGTTAATGGAATGCCAACCACGTCCGACCTATTTCTCGACCTTCATATGTATTTTATATGAGTCTCTCTAACTGCCACATAACTTTCCTTGCTCGAATTCATTTAGTGTTCAAAGAGTACTTTTGAATTTTTAGTCAAACTTCAGTGTTGCAACAACTGATTTGGCATAATAGTTTATCATCTTTTTTTTTTTTATAGTAATTCTAATTTCTACCATCGTACACATATATGTATCAGCAGGTGATGCTACAAAGCTAGACATTTTTTTGGGTAACATATCAATTAGAAAGTGTAGAATTACAACATAGCTCTGCTCACGTTGGCCCCGGGCTTTGCCCGGGCTATCCCCCTCTCTCTCTATATATATATATATATATTAGCTTGTTAGTAACAACAACAACAACCCAGTGTGGTCCCACAAGTGGGGTCTGGGGAGGGTAGGATGTACGCAGCCTTACCCCTACCCTGGAAGGGCAGAGAGACTGTTTCCGATAGACCCTCGACTAAAGAAGGTGAGAGAAGCCCTGGTAGCAAGTAATAGCAGAACAATAATTAGAAAACTAAATCGGAGATAGCAACAGATAATATGAAAGGGGTACTGATAACAAGTAGTAGCAAGATAACATATTTAGAAAACTAATTCCAAGGCATCAGACGAGAATATGAACAAAGTACTGCTAGCAAACTACGGAATTACCAATGGCAAGTAACAACGACACGAGACATGCGAATATAGCAAACTAAGGAAAAAAAGGGTACCGTACTAGCGCTAATACTATCGAGCTAGAGAAGACAAAGGGAGATGCACGACTACCTACGAACCTTCTACCCTAATCTTCAACCTCCACACCCTTCTATCTAGAGTCATGTCCTCGGTTAGCTCAAGTAGCGCCATATCCCACCTGATCACCTCTCCCCAAGACTTCTTTGGCCTACCTCTATTCCTCCTCTCACCTCCTAAGGCCAACCTCTCACATCTCCTGACAGGGGCATCTGCGCTTCTCCTCTTAACATGCCCGAATCATCTCAACCTTGCCTCACGCATCTTTGCCTCCACAGGGGCCACTCCCACCTTGTCTCGAATAACTTCATTTCTAATTCTATCCAACCTAGTATGCCCACACATCCAAGCTTAGTTCCTTGAATAGTTGTAAAACTTCCCTTCTCTAGCTTCGTAATTAGTTCATGACTTTCATTCTGAATGTTGTGAGCTCAGTGCGTAATCAATATAGACTTATGTTTGATGCCCACGAGTCTCATTTTAGATTACTCAACATGTCTTAAACAGTTGAAGCTTCAATTCTTTCACGGAATTCCAATCGCGGCCGCAATGTTACTTTCGCGGCCGCCTCTTTATGATGCGGTCCGTGTTCATATTTTGGCCAAAAACAACCTCTCTGGTTCTCCATTTCGCAGACCGCGTAATTATGACCGTGTCCGCGTTGGCACTTTCACGGCTGCACTTTTCTGTCGTGTTCCGCGTTCCACAGCTCTTGGCCCAGTCTTGGTCTTCCTTCAAGTTTTGACTCCTTTATGAGTTGATCATTGCTACTTGGGCTCATTGTGAACAATCCCTGCAAGCAAGCATATTACATTAGTTTTTGGGAATACCTTCACGCATTTTAGGCCCAAAACGCAAGTGAGAAAGAGCAAATAATAGGTTAAAATCCACACTTATCAACTCCTACAAACTTAAACGTTTGCTTGTGCTCAAGCAAATAAGGTAATTGCCACTTCCACTAAAACAAAATAGAAGGATATTTCAGCTGCCCTAATGTGAATCAAACATGCATCAATTTGGACTAACAATTATCCTTAACACAAATGAATTATCAACAACACACAACCTTTGGAGTACCATAGTTCTAGTGCGACACAAGAGCATCAAGAGTTGACTTAACTCACCAAGGAAGCTCGCTCTACTACGTAGGTCATTGTGGAACCCAAACTCTTCCTCCTCTACTCTCCATAAGCAAATCTCACTTTAGATTGTAGCACTCAATACAAGGATTGTGGAGAAGTACGCTCATCTCTCTCAAGGGAATGTCACAAGTCCGGCTCTAAGTACCATAAGCTTGCCCCTTATGTAAATCACCACTAATGTAAACTCACTCAACTCGAAATCATATAGGCTTTTGCGGGAATGTAATGAAGGCTTTTGGATCAAGGTAGGACTTATTGACATATGATAGTTGTAGACATGTAATTTTTCACTCTCCCCGAGATTTTTACACATTTTAGCGTGTATATAGTTAGCTTAGGTTTAATGTCGCTATTTTAAATAGTTTTGACTCTTCTACCTATTTTATCACAAAATAAAAATTACAAAATATATTTTATCTTTAGTTTAAAGTCAATTAGTATATTTATATTTATAGTATTTTAATTTCACCATGGCTTTAGCCTATTCTTCCTTCTTTTTACTTTATTATAACATTTGAAAATACAAAAATTAGTTTCACTTTTAGTGTTTAGTTTTATATTAGTTTATTAAGATTGATTTTTACACTTTATAGATATATTATATTATTTGGTCTTCTTAGCCTAAATTCAAAAAATATGGTCCAACCCAATTTCCTCAATCCAAGACCATTTACCCATTCCCCTCTTATATCCTAATTAAAATGACCCTTAGATAACCCCTAACCTTGAAGGGAGACCTAATAAAAAAACACACACTCCTTTCTGAGAAAACCAGCAACCACGCCGTTTACCCTTCGACCATCTCTCTCGCTCTCTCATCTTCAGAAGCTAAGAGATCAGATTCCCCATTAAAACCTTACCTTACACAGACAGACGCAAAAAAAAACCTTTCTTCTTGAACCAGCAAAGCAAAACCCCAAACCTGTCCATCTTCTTCAACCTAACACCCTTAACACACCTTAAAAAAATGTTGGACCTTCTTCTTCTTTCGATTTTCAGCAGCCAACGTCAAAAAAACTCTCCAGCCGCTGCTGCTTCTTCAGCACACCACCGAACCATCGAAGAACAGATATAGACCTAGCAGCTGAAAAAGAAAACGCAACAGCATTAAGAAATTGGCAGCAACATAACCATTCTAGCCATCTCCCCTCCCATCGCCGCTGCTTCTCATCTCGAACACACACACACAAAGAATCGAAAAAAAAATAGTTTTCTGCCGTTCAATTTTCACTCATGGAGTTTGTTTGAGCGCTGAGTCGTATCGTGGTTCAGGGGTGTTTGTTCGAGGACGAGGTTCGTGGTTCCGAGACCGATTTGCTGTCGTCTTCTCGTTCAGACTTTAGACTCAAATCTCACTCGACTAAGTTGCTGTAATTGCTGAAATCCTATTAATTGAAAGCTCTCATTGAGGTCCATTTCTGATTCCCTCTTATTCTTTTGATGTGATTTTATGATAGGAGTTTGGGGTAATTGATGAATATAGATTTAAATATGGTTCGCCTAGTGCTGAATGATTGAGTTGATTTTGCTTCTTCAAATTATATTAAGATGTTCTATTCTCTTCCTTGCGCTCGAACTGTGTTATAATTTCGAATCTAATTGTTTTTCGAATGCGTTTGATTGAAGTCAGATCTGATTTTTGGTCGATTGAATTAGTGAAGCATGTCATATTGTTGTTAGAATCAGTTTGATTGACTCTTTGATAAGGAAACTATTGACCTGCTTGCTTCTATAGGTATGAGTGAACTACCTGGTGTTGTGCTTAAGGAAGAACAGCCCGTGGTTACGGCTACGCTTGTTGGATTCAGTGGACGTGGTAGATTTGGTGGCGCAGGTGGTAGACGTGGTGGGTATTGATAATGGGTCTGTAGTTTTTTTGTTTAAATGCGATTGTGTTGGTTCTTTTTGGTGTTATGAGAATAAGTGCGTCTGTTAAATTCTAGGCTTGAAGTTATCTGATTGTGGTTCTAAAATTTGTGTGATGATTTTCCGGATAGGGGAACGTTTAGGTGCATTTTGAATTTATTATCGTGATTATGTACATGTTCGCGTGACATGATTACGGTTTAAAAATGAATATTCGTAGAAAATGCTTTAGGCGCGACTTAATCTACCATCGGGATTGTGTACACGTTCGCGTGAAATAATTACGATTCTAAAAATAAAATCGAGGTATGCATTCGCGCAACTTCGGCTAAACTTTCTTAGTATTAATAAAGCATGATTAATTGTGGACACGTACGCGTGACATGATTCTTGACGAACCAAACGAAATGAGTTTTTTATTAATAATCGAGCAATTAAAAGCGGTAAGAGGTAAAAATGTACGTAGGTTCTAAAATGAGTAAGTAGACCAATTTAATTAAGCCAAGTATGATTAAAGCGACCGTGCTAAAATCACGAAACTTGGGAATGCCTAACACCTTCTCCCAGAATTTCTTACCCGTATTTCTGTGTTTCGCGGACTGTAAAACAGAGTCAAACTTTCTCGATTCGGGATTTTAAACCGGTGACTTGGGACACCGTTAACTATCCCAAGTGGCGACTCTGAATTTGAATAAATAATCTCATTTCGATTATTGTCACTTTAATTGGAAAAACTCCCTTATATCCCCTTTCGGGTAAAAAGGAGGTGTGACAATAGTTTCATCTTTCCTTAAGCACTCCATTTCCTCATTTCGGCTCATATTTTCTTGACTCTTTGAGTCATTTTCTTCTTCCTTAGGCGAACTAGAGAGACACACTATCACTCTTTCTTGCTCGTGACGATCATTTTTCTCCTTTACTAATCATTCCATGCCTTTCATCATTGTTTTCTTTGAATCCCTTCACTTTTCTATCTTATTCACTTTCTTATTGACATACTTCTTTTTGCTTTTATTTCTTTTCTTTTGCCTTCCCTTTTCTTCATTTTGTACCTTTTATCACTTTCACATTCCTCATCTCTCCCCCAAACTTATGTTTTTGCCAATTGTGAATGCTAAGAAAAGATCGGGTGCCATCATTATAGAGCGGATAAAGGCTTGTATCGTGGTTATTAAAAGAAAAAGGGCTTCGGCTCAAAGGGGTTGACTAGGGATATCATATTGGTAGGCTACCGAAGATTTCAAGTTTGAAATTTGATCATGGAGAGCCTATAATCATTTCTCATATCGAGCTACACTTGGAATTTCGCCTAGACAAACATTCAGAGCAAGTTCTAGACTTGTTGGCACGGAACATGGACTTGCAATTCAGTATTTCACCTCACAAGCTATTTGATTGTTAAATAGAATAGAGTCGAGGGCCCACAACAACCCTAGCTAAGATTGAGCATCACAAATGGCTCCAAGAAGCCACTCGATGATTGTTTAGTCAACATAAGAATCTAAAGGTCACAACTAGAACTATTCTTTGCCAATCAATTTGTTTCTAACCATAAGGTCGAAGGTAAATGTGTTAGGCTCAAGTGAAGCTTGCCTGAGACACTTTTATTCATTACTAATAATTACACAAAAACATAAAGAAAACGGACTCAATCCCTTAAGAAGGTTGTCACGCTATCCATCACCGGGAAGAGCCACCCGGTTCACACAACATCCACCTTTGGAAAGAACCGTGGCATTAAGAAAATCAAAGGCTTATTCCACATAATATGTCAAGAAAAAAGCTATGAAGTAAATTACGGAAATCAACTGAATATAGACAAACTTGAAGTAAAGCGAATATTTACATAAATGAAAATGAATAATATACATCAAATGGTATATATATATATATATATATATATATATATATATATATATATATATATATATATGTACCAAATGTGAAAGTAACGAATATATACATACCAAAATAAAATAAAGAGAAGTAAAGATAAAGAAAAATAGTCTCATAGTTATTACATACCAATGTTATCCAATTATCACCAAATCAAAAAAGACCACCCCCCCTCCCCCCCCAAATAAAAGATAACATTGTCCTCAATGCTAATATCAAAACGAGATTAGGGAAAGGGTTAGAGAGTAAAGAAAACTTCCTATGTGGTCTGCATTGGGTCAGGAACATGAATGGGGTCCTCGGACTGCATAGGATCAGCAGCTCCCTCCGGGTCCTCTAACTGGATCTCCAAGTCCTGTGACTGGGGAACCAAGGGGTTGCGGAGCATCTGGATCATCTCCTCAGCATTATGTGTAGTGGCAACCGGCTCCTCAGACTGACCAGCTGTTGGTGCCTCATGCTCTAGTGCATGTGCTGCCTGTGCTTGCCCTTCCATGAGCAAGTCCAATGGAATATCTCCAGCAGATGCAAACTTCTTTACCTCCTCTGTCAGCAGCTCCACTGATTTCTTTGAGGCATGTGTCTTCTTCACTTCTTCACTTGCTTGCCCAGATCCTTGATAACCTTACCATGTATATCCAAAGTGTCCAGGATCTTCTTTTGGTTATCCAGGAGCTTCTTCTGGTTGGCCAGAAGCACCTTCAATGAATCCGCCACTGATGAAGGAACCTGAAGCTGTGCTGGGGCCGACTGTGCTGCTACTGCACTGGATAAGACAGACAACTTGGATGTAGCTGCCTGCACTCAGTTGTTGATGCTGGATAATGTCTAAGAAACCTACAGTGTAGTCTGAGGGTAAGTGGAAGATCAGGGCACAGATAATGGCACTATGACATATGGCCCAGATGAAGGAGGAGGTATGGCAGCTGAAGGTCCCCTTGCTGTGGAAGGCCCTGACCCGGTGGCCACAACCCTTGGCTCTTCAAACTGGCCAGTGGAGATAGCGGCTACCCTTTGCTTTAGGATTGTCTGGTACTTGGAGGCTATACCAGGAAAAAGGCTTTTTAGGCTTTGCCTTTGTATCATAATGCTTCTTCTCAACTCCTTGTTCCTCAAAATACATGGTGAGAAAGTTGGGGTAGGGGTAGGACCTTTCTTGCTTTCCAATTGCCTTTGTGATGTGATAGTACATGAGGTTCCCCACATTGATAGGATACCCCGCCATGATGGAGGCTATCAAGATTGCTCGGGTGAGTGGGAGGACATTGTCATGCTGATACGGGTCCAGCCGGCTGCACACAAATGTAGACCACCATTTGGCTTCAAAGGTGAGGGTGTTTCTGTATATTGGGACTCCAGCTGTGAGCCATGCCGGTGTCGCCCCTGGGGCTAGTATATCCGCCAACCATGGACGGTCTGCTTCATCAAGTGCTAGATTCTCCAAGTATTGCAAGGTTTCCACATCCTCAAAACCGGCATATTCATTCAACGTGTGGCCATCAAACTGGATCTTCAAATTCCAGACCTTTGTCACAGTGGTGCCCTTTTTGATGTGGGCAATGTTTGCATAGAACTCTTTGACAAGGTATTCATTTGCATCTGGAACTTTGCTGGTGAAGAATTTCCATCCTTTTATCTCCTCAAACTGCCTCTTGACATTTGGATTGTAGGGAAGGATGTCTCTCTCTATGAACTCTCTCTCAAGGGTGAGCGACCTTTGGGACCACCATTCTCGGAACTTCTGATAAGCTATTTTGCTCACAAATCTATCAGCCCACACCTCGGCTTTTCTAGACCTGGCCAACCCCCCAACATTGGTGTCACCCCCACTCCCGTCATCCGGGACCTCATCATCATCATCAACAGTAATAGGGGCAGCTTGTGTAGACGAAGTTGTAGCAGGTAGGGAAGATGGTGCCGAAGCCTCACTACCTTCCTTTGAGCCATTAGACGACTCAGAAAAGGAGGTAGGTTCATCTAGTAACTGGAGTCTCTACGGGAAATTCGTGGGGACATGTGTTGGCAAATAGTCTCCTTCCGAAGCTTCCTAGGAAGGGACATACTCACTAGTGTCTGAATGGTCGCAGCTCTATCCGCAGCTTTGATGGAGGCTCTCATCTTGCCAATAGACTTTTGTATTGCTAGGGGTATTTTAGTCTTTCCTTTACCCCTGCCTCAGGAGGGTTCTGCCCTCCTTTTAGATGTATCACCTCTGCCTCTGGAACGGAACATTGTCAGTTGTAAAGTTTTAGTAAGAAATGAACTCTTGATTAGAATGAGATGAAACTGAGAGCTGAAGAAGAGGAACAATGCTTTTTGTGCAGTGAAATGTTAGGGGTCGAAAAGTGTAAAATGATTAAGGAGCCCCTATTTATACTTAGCAACTTGTGGAACCCACCGCCTTACCTGAACGCGGCCGCAAAATTCTATCGCGGTCCGCATTTTGTTACATGATGAAGAACAGCCTCACACATGGGCGCGGTCCGCGGAATAATGGATGCGGCCGCGGAATACATCGTGGACCGCCAAAATATGGATACGGACGCCAACTCTGAAGGATATTTGACAGTCCAATTTTAGAGAGTTGGCATTTTGCCCTTTTCAATTACGCGCCCGCGAACAAAAAGGTGAGGCCGCGAAATGCTCACACGGACCGCAAAATTTTGGGTGCGGTTCGCGAACTTCCAACTCTTAGCCAATTTTTTCCTTTGTCAATATGCTGCACTGCACAACTAGTTTCTACATACGCTTCACAACTAATTAGTCCAAAAACAATGCCTAATATAAGAAGAAAATCAAAAGAAAGAAAAACGCATGGGTTGCCTCCCAAGAAGCGACTGATTTAACATCGCGGCCCGACGCATGTTACCATCATTCACTTGAAATGGATCAATGCTACAACGTGGCCATCATCAACTTTACCAAGGTAGTACTTCACTCAGTGCCCATTGACTCTAAAGATCTCACCATTCTCGTTTTTCAAATCTAGAGCACCAAAAGGAGTCACATGCACCACTTCAAAGGGACCGCTCCATTTTGACTTTAGCTTTCCCGGAAACATCCGTAACCAAGAGTTGAATAAGAGAACAAGGTCACCTTCTCTGAATTCTTTGTTCCGGATATACTTATCATGTAGGTACTTCATCTTGTCCTTATACAAGGACGAACTGGAGTAAGCATGGAACCGGAACTCATCAAGTTCATTCAATTGCTCCACCTGAATATTGGCAGCTACATCCCACTCTAGGTTCAACTTCTTCAACGCCCACATGGCCTTAT